GGATCAGCTTTCCATTTCTCTTACGCAGATCATGATAACCTGTAGAGTAGAGTACAATCATTTGTGCTATGTTTTTAATTTTCTAAAGCACCTTGATGACAGTGAGTGTTCAGTGGTGAAGCATCCTCTATTGAACAACCCTTAGAAAAAGACAAAGTAAAAACAGAACCTTGCCAAGTCCAGTTTCATATAGGTAAAAGATAGATGAAATTATGACTTACTTTGGACTTGGCATAAAGAGTTCCCTTAACACCCTTCACAAAGGGATACTGCAGTTATACTACATACCCATAGGCACCACAATGAAAATTGAAGCTTATACCTAATTAAGGTTTTATACACACCAGTTCCCCCAGTAAATGCAAATTTTAACAAAATTAGACATGTCATATGTTGAAAATGCTCATGGCAAACAATCATTTTGCATTCCTGCAAATAAAATTGTTTTATACTGTAAGCTGGAGGCGAGTGTAACTTATTTTTGTAATAAAGTTTTTATTTTTTTTATGTGTCATTAATATAAATGTGTGTTAGTACAGAGATCTTCTGGTTAAAAACTTAGAATCGCACACATTTCAGTATGTTTACTTGTATTTACATAATTTTTAGAATAGTGGTTGCCAATAGCCTGTATGTTTTCACATTAATTGATTTTTTTTTTGTTATCTTAATAAACCATTTTAGTATGTTGTATGTCAATTACTGGGATAGCTGGGACATAAAGTGTAATTAAAAATTGTCAAGTATTCATTGGAATATGTAAATGTGCCTTGCCAGTTTTGAACTTTAAGACAAAGTAAGTGAACAATGGTGAAATGAGTAGTCAATGCCTAGACATTTGCTACCAGAGTTTCATATACTGCCCTTGCTAAAGAAAAGAAATTTCTTCCTCAAATTTGAACGTAAAACTTAACAGTTGCATTAGCTTCTGAATTTCAAAATCTACTTAGAGAAATTAGGCTTATGGAAAGGGGGTTTTCTAATTGTAGCCTTAAGTATAATTTTGAATTTCAATGTAATCCTTGGTGCTGGCATTCCCAGTGCCAAGGAGTTTAAATGCTCCCTTCAAAGAGGTTGCCATGCCTACTGGCGCTTTTACTGTCATACGGTTTTATAAGGAACACTGTCAAGATGTGGAAACCAATTTTGAACTTGCTATGAAATGAAACACTGGGGGCTGTAGGAGAGGGAAAGTCCTCAGATTTCTTAATCTTGAAATCTCTCCATTGCTGAAAAACTTAAAACACTTGTTGGATCACAAGTGCTAGTGACTAGTTCTTAGTCTGGAAACGTGTTGTGGGGAATAAGAGGTTTATGGAATTGTAACAGTAAATGGAAGTGCATAAAAACATTGCAACTAAGGCACTATGTGTGTTGAAATTGTGGATTAAATCCCTAATTTCAGCTCTGATAAAAGTATGGGGGACGACTATTTAAAGAAAAAAAAAAAGCAAAATTGACAGAAAAGTTTTTAATGGAATGCAAGCAATGGTGAGTGAGCAAAATGCCAAGATCCTGACAGTGTTCCCTCTAATTATGAATTCAAGCCATTATAACTTTTACAATTAAATATGATTTGCACTGTTCTGATATTGGTGCAGTTTTTTAGAAAAATTATCAGAAAACTAAATTGCATGTGGTGAATTGTGGAAAAAAAACCTAAAATCAAAAAAATGTTATTTTTCAAAGCTTTAAATTTGATTGTTTAAAGAAAAAACATTAAGTGGAAATGCTGGTGAGAATGGGCAAGTGCATATATACAACATCAGTTTGGTTGCACTTGGGTGTTGGTAAACTTGAAATGTTCTACAGCAATAATGCATCTCTTAGGGGGTGCTTTGGTGACAAATGAACATATGACACAGTTCTTCTTGGCATGTTGAAGGCAAGTTTTGACTTAATAGAATGTGCTGCCTCTGTTTATTCTCACAGGAGGCTTTCTTTACTGAAACACCTGCAAAGGTGCATAAGTAGTATAGTTCCACATTGGTTTGTAATGTGTTTCTAAATTTGAAGTCTAGTTGAACTTAATAAGAAACCGGAAACTGCTGCTTAACACTTCTGGTTTATAAACACTCCAATACACAGCTTTTAAAATTATACTCCTGTTTTAATACTCATTTTTGTTTGAAAGGTTTCATAGAGGACATGCAACTGTATTTTTTTTCTTTCCAGTTTTTAAAGAGGAGGTTTGTTATGACCCAGAACTTAAGTTTTGTGTTTATACTGTTGGAGGAAGGCTGTTATTACAATAAGATACTGAGATCAGTTTCTGAATTTCTGCGTTGTACAACTCTTATGTAAATACTGTCTTTAAAATCTAAAATAAGGAATACTAATTCTGTTCTTGTTGGGACTGAAGGGTATAACATAGTCTGAAATAAAAGTAGTCTCCTCTAAAAGCAGGATTCCCAACTTCAGGATAGAAATATTATACATGGCTGCAACTTTTTATTGCCTTGTGCCTTTGATTATTCTTCAGAGGCTTAACTTTCCTGTTCAGCCTAGCAATTATTTTAGTGCTTCCATATGTCAGTGAGGGGAGGCTTTTTTTTTTGGTTGGAGAAATAAAACTGAAAGGCAACATGGACATAAGCATACAGAACATTTTCACAAAAGAGTGTGTTTAAATTGATACACTGCACAACATTAACACTTTGTCCCTCACATTAGTGAGATATTAGTGGAAAATATTGTTTAAAATGGAGTAGCAAGTTTTGAAATAGGCAACAAGGCAGTAAATGTGACAAGACAGTTTTTGGACAACTGAAATGGGTCAAGTGCAAGCTTGAGTCTGTGTTCATGCCCGGAATCTTATGATTCCTGACTTTGTCTGTTTGGACTTAATGGACATAAAAGTCTGTCTTTAGAGAGTGTCTTGCTGAATGAACTCCAGCACCAGCACATGACATCTCTTGTCTGAGGCTAACTAGTTGAATTAGATGGGCATAGGAAACACCAGGTTGTACTCTGTCAGAGGGAAATGGGATGTGGCAACGGAACAAAAAGTTGACCTGAAGATTCCTTGATCCTTAATACAGATAGTGGGGGAAGAAGGAATAAATTAGTATCACTTTACAGCCATCTAGTACAAATAAACAATGCTTCCTAGAAGGTCTGATGTTAAAATCTTACCAGGAGCCTGATTTTCAGACTTGCCTGGTCACAGTTTGCAACTTACGTTGAAAAATCCACGGGAGGAAAGTGTCACTGCTTAGATGCCCCTTTGTCTAGATTGGTTGCCTGGTCACAGTTTGCAAGTGTATACTTACTTACGTTAAAAAATCCACGGGAGGAAAGTGTCACTGCTTAGATGCCCCTTTGTCTAGATTGTTACAAAAGAGAGTTGAAAAGTGCCACTAGGACTATGTTGTTAGCTTACTGGCAGTTTGGAGAGGGGTGACTGTCTCATGTAATTACACTTTTTCTTGCCAATATATAATTGGTTACTAGTTTTTCCACAAAATACGTATTTTAAATGGCCAGCTCCTTAGCAGATGCTGCACAGCTGAGCTCATCTATAAATTGGGTTATGTGGTTTATTTAAAGCTGTCTTCACAGAAGCTTCTTTAGATGGTCATACTTCCAGGCACCTGGTAGAAGCTTTTTGTTTTTTTTAAATATAAAAATAAAAGCATCTGTGAAGTCTAGAAAATGCAGTTGTAACATGTAGGTAATAGGTATTTAATTGCAGATTGAATATTTAAAGTTTGAACCACAAAATACATTTCAGTTCAGGTAATTGTTCATGAAATTTGGTCTCCACTCTAAAGCCAACACTTGTATTCAAACAGTCATTTAGGTAAAACTTGGGAGTGTCAAGAATCTAATTCCCCATAGTCTGAGAGTGATTCATTTGGCTGATTATTGGTGACAGTTCTGTGTGCACGGTTCGTGTGACAGCGTACTTGTTTTGGTTGCTAAAGTGTAGAAAAGACATGGAATCTTACTCCTTGTTTTCTTTGCACTAAGGAAGTTATGAAATGCACTCTTAGTTCTGCTGCAAAGCCAGTAGAATAGTTATGTCATTTGACTGCACAGAAGGTAATGGTAAGTAAAAATAGACCTTCTAGTACTTAAATGACTTGCAGTACTTAAAATCCAACTTCAGTAGACTGTTTAATTGATTCCTTATCTGCAGCGATTTACCCAGATTGTGCATTTTAAATCTTAATTTTAGTGTGTCCACTTCAATGCCAAGTGAATGTTGAGTGGAATCTGACACTGTTTAGTGTTAAATATTTCAGATCTAAAAATGTCTTAAATGCTTCATAGATAATTCAGTATCTATTTTTACACTAATGGGTTAGTAATCATAGTAGTTTAAAGGTTTTTACATGAACACAAGTCACCTATTGAAAGCCAGGAATGTATCAGATCCTGAGTTTCTGGTTCCAAGTGTCATGCTTTCAGTATTGTTCTACCATCTAAAGTAACAGTTTTCAGGTTTTTTTTCTCTTCAGTGGGATGAGGAACGTACCTAATTCTGTCACTCATAATGGTTATTTAAAAATAACTACTAAGTACTATTACTAAGTGTAATGAATTTGGGATTAAAAAGCTTCCTCCTTGGGAATTTGACAAAGATAAATTTATAGATGCTCCATCAGTAAACCATGGCTTTTCTTAAGAAGCAATGTCAGCATACTTTGAAATGAAGCTGTATTACAAAACACCGTTGAGAGCTAAAATAAATTATAGGTAATCTTTTCATTATGCAGATGTGTATTACAATTCAGGGGTGATTTAACATTACAATATTTGAGCTGACAGATAAAAATACTTAGTCCCCGCATCTGGAAAGCAAAAGTGGCTATTAAAGGATTGTTCCTGTTTCAGATTGTGGTTAAAGACTTCCTTTGGATGTTGCAATTAAATGTTTTTTTCTTCTAGTACAAATAGTTGTTTTGATAAGCCAACCTGTTTCCAATCCATAATTTTTAACAGAATTTTGTGTTTTGTGTGTTTAAGTTGATACTTCTAGCAGAAGACAGACATTTCCTGGTGAAATCACTGATGTGTCTTTCACCAGGAACTGATCAGTGTGTAACTGCCTTAAACTAGTCTAGTGAAACCGTCCTGTATTTGTTATTTACAGTTACAGAAGTGTGATCATTTACACTTGCTTTTGAATTAGTGAGATGCTTAAAAGCTGCTTTGAAGAAAACTGGCATATATGTTGTTAAAATCTGTCAGAATTTGCAGATGAAGAAACATGATGTGGGTTTCATGCTAACAAGATTAGGCCTGGACCTGAAGGGACAGTCATAACTTCTCTCATTGGAAGACCTGATGGAATAACAAGGCTTTGGTGGCTTCATGCATTAGCAGTGCCTTGCTCCACTATTTTCTTGTAATATTAACACAGCCTCTGAGGAAGAAACCCCAGCTCATTATGGGGATAACTCCAGGGAGATCGATCTTCCATTTAAGAACGGATCTGCAAGGTCCTAGATCCATTGGATTTAGTATGGTGTTTGGATGGAAGTGACGTTTCAGTGGGAATGGTGTAATAAATGGCAGTTTGCATTTTTGCTTAATGTTAGACTAACCTGAAGTTTAATTTGTTTAGGTGGCCATATTTCTATCCAAGAAAATGATCTTAATATTCATATGTCATGAATTGATCAGTAAATCTTAGACCCTAGCAGTTAATTTGAGCTTGTTGGTCTTTTCTTAGGTCAACTGTTAAAATCAGTACAGGCTTCTACTAGCAAGTAAAGAATTTTTTTTCTTAATGGCAGTATATAAACATTCACAGTTT